ATCTTGATTGCATGTTTGATCAATTTCAGATTAAAGAAGTTGGTAGAATTCTTCTATTTCATTCTCACTGGCTTTAGTGGTTGGTGTGTAAATTTGAATAATATTGGTATTACCTGGTCTTCCCTGTAGGTGCATGGATATTTTCCTATCACAGACAGCATTGTACCTCATAACTGATCTGGATATGATCTTTTTTGACAATGAATGCAACACCATTCCTGTTCAATTTGTTATTCCCGGCATAATAAACCATGTGATTGTCAGATTCAGAATGGCCAATGCCAGTCCATTTCTGCTCACTAATGCCTAAGATACCTATGTCTATGCATTCCATTTCATTTTTTACAATTTCCAGTTTTTCTAGATTCATACTTCATACATTCCATGTTCCGATTTTCAGTAGATGTTTACAGCTGTTTCTCTTCATTTTGAGTTGTGCCCCATCAGCAAATGAAGGTCCCACGGGCTTTTCTCCCACGGGCTTTACTCCATTTGTGTCATCACGGTCAACTCTACTTTGAGGAGGCAGGTCTTCCCCAGTCACATTTTGAGTGCCTTCCAATCTGAGGGGCTCATTTTCTGGCACTATATCTGACAGAGTTTCTCTGCTATTCATAAAGTTTTTAGTGACTTAAGTATTTGGAAGTAGTTTATCACTCCTTCTTCATAGTCTATCTTCATCTGGAAGCTCATCTGAAACCTGTCCACCATGAGTGACCCTGCTGGTATTTAAAATACCAGTGGCATAGCTTTCAGAATCACAGCAACTCACAAGCCACCACAGTACGACAAACTGACAGGCGAGTGATGGAATTATTACAATTATCAAATTGTAATTCACATCAAAAGCCCCAAGCCATCTATCTACCAGTTTGTCTCCCCACACCCTCATCCCAGCTTCAACCTAAGTACATTTGATCCCCACTAACATGAAGTTTACAGTCTTTACGTCAAGCTAGCAAATGCAGAAACTCACTTGTATGTTTGTTTTTCCCCTTAGGGCTACAGTTTAAGTCCCCTTTCCTGCTCCTGTACTCTGCGTAAACAGTGCCTAAAGACAGCGTGCAGGTCTTGGTGCTATCTGACGGCCATGTCTGTAGCCCAGGACCGCTTGCCCCTTGTCACTCAGCATTGCACAGCCATTATCACGGGCATGTGTTTCTTTATTTGGCAAGTTCTTTCTGTGCTGCAGAAATAAGGCCACAGAGAATAAGGACCTGTGGCTGTGCATGGTTACCTCAACCTCCCAACTCTGCACTAGGGCCCTGCACATTGGGAATGCATCCATGGCAGTGGTTGTGGCCTGTATTTTAGATCTCATTTTTAAAGTTTCTCATGTGTTTGCTTTTGCTTTTGTTTTCCTGTAGGTGCAGAGTGAAGACAGTGTCCTCCTGTTTGTAATTGCCTGGACAATCACAGAAATTATCCGTTACTCCTTTTATACATTCAGTCTATTAAACCATCTGCCTTACCTCATCAAATGGGCCAGGTAAAAAAGTACATAGAATGAAGACTAGCTTTTGAAATTATCCATGACTGCATTTGCCCTTTATTGCCTAAATATTGTCTCTAGGTTTCTAAAAATAAAAGTGTATGAAGTGGATGGGATAGAAATCTGTTCTGTGGGTTTCATTAGGAAAAGGAAATCTGCTTACTTTGATTAATAGAAACTGTTTTCAAGTTCTATTTTGCTTAAATTATTTTTATTGGGATCAATTCTTTTTAGTTAAATTATTCATAGTTTGATATAACACCCTATTGTTCAGATCAAATATTCTGCCATTATGGTGCATGGTGTTTGGTTTTTTATCATTTTTGTAGTTTAGTGTAGTTAGTTTTGTTTTGCCAAGTCCAATTTACCTGTTCTCAATTTTGCCAGGAAACTGTATGACTCGTATACATTTTTAGCTAATGATACATGTTGCATAGCAGTTTTAGTTTATCAGTTTGATTATCTGTATTACTCATTATGAATTTGATAAAAGACTGATGTGATAGTTGATCTGTTTATCTTAGTTAATCCATGAGGCCATTGTGAGCAGTTTTCTGAGTTGGAAAAGACCAGGAAGAGAGTGATAAAAGAAGAAGCATCAAAATTGTCCCAGGGGTTCAAATGCCTCATTTCAGGGAAGAGGGAAACAGTGGTTCCTACAGAATGTATGCATTTAGTGATTAAATTAGGAACATAAACCATAGGAACTTATTTCTAACATTTCAAGTATGAGAACAACTTTTTTATATTATATATGAGCGTGTGTGTATATATATATATATATATATATATGCAATAAATGTTTTTACTAGGAAAAATAAGAATGGGAGACAGACATATAGCAACAACTCAAGATGAAATCCTGCTGGGCAGGCATTACAACAACTGTCTACCCTGGTTATAGGGAAAGTTTGTTGACCAAGTCATGATTTTCCTAATGGAAAAAGATTCTTTTGTCCATTGTTTTGCCCACAGCCTATGGAACATTCTTCCTTTTTCACTACCTATGCCTAAAATTATCAGTATGAATAGTCTTTCATTTTCACAGATGCCTTAACACAGTCGCTGTGCCTGAAAGTTTGGCAGTCCAATGCTTATTGTAGGCTTTCTGAAATTTAACCTAAATGTTTCGTTGGTCTGCTCACCCAAGGTCAACAGTTCAAATCCATTAGTCACTTCAATTGAGAAAGATGAGATTGTCTGCTCCTGTAAAAGATTTAGTCTCAGACCCTATGTAAGGTCACTGAGTCTAAATCCATTTGATGGCAGTAGATTTGCTTTTGGGGGTTCTTTCTTGTTTGTTTGGGCTATACTTCAAAATGACTTTCAGTTCATTCCATATGGATTAGTAACTGCCCTCTGAATTCTTTCATGATAGTAACTATTCTATGAAATCTTTTTGAAATACAGATAATCTCCTTCTTAAAATTAAAATTAGAATGTGTGGATCCACTGAACAGATAGTAAATCTAATCATTGTTTTTTGTTTTGTTTTGTTTTTACATTGGAAAGTTACCAAATGACCAAAAGCTATTATAAATTTTTAATGTTTTGGGTTTTTTTTAATACCATGTTTCATTTATCACAATCACATTTACACAATTTGAAAATTAGCAGGAATACACACTTTTGGACTCATGGTAGGGTGCTGTCAGGATCTGCACTGTACTGCAAACCACAAGGTCAGCAGTTCAAGCCCACCAGCCACTCCTCAAAAACCCTAAACAAGGTTGTTATGAGTCGGAACTGACTTGAAGGCACTTAACAACATACACACTTTTGGTGTGCTGCTTTTTCAGCCCACAGACCAGATTGATGCACGGTGTAAGGATTCCTAGATACCTTGATCTGACACCTTCTCTGGTGGTGGCGGATATATGCCATGGAGTCGGAACCAACTCATAGCAACCCTATACAGGGTTTCCGGGACTGTAAATCATTACGGGAGCAGAAAGCCTCATCTTCGTCCCTCGGAACAGCTGGTAGTTTCAAACTGCTGACTACGTGCCTCCAAACCCCCCAGCACCTCCCTTATCCCAGAGGGCAGGATTCTTCCATATAAATCCAACTTTATCCATATTTGCATCACATTATTTTAAGGAGTTGTTGCAAAGAGTTTATTTAGACAAGCTAAATTTTAAGGCTAACTGAACACATTTTATTTTAGAACATTCAGAAAGATGTACCTACCACTGACCCTTTTCAAAAACTGGCTTGTAAACAGCCTGAATTTAAACAGTATTACCCACTGTTTAAATAAATTTCCCGCAGGAAAATGTATAAACAACAGGTTCCTAAAATACCAGTATTGATTAGAAGGGTGGGAGTGTATTGTTCTACTAAAGCTGGCTTCACACCTCAGTAATTAATATTTTGGTTTGTTTTAGGTACACACTTTTCATTGTACTGTACCCAATGGGAGTGTCCGGAGAGTTGCTCACAATATATGCTGCTTTGCCCTTTGTCAGACAGGCTGGCCTGTATTCCATCAGTTTACCTAACAAATACAATTTCTCCTTTGACTATTACACATTCCTAATTCTGGTAATGATCTCTTACATTCCACGTAAGTAAACCATTATGCATATATTTATTTATGTTTTAAAACCTGACTCTGCAATAACTAGAATTGAATCTCTTTAATTGTTTTATACCACAAGTAAATATGTACCTAATGTATTGGAGAAAGCTCTGGTTGTTATAGAATGTCATATCAAAGGCAGTGAATGAATAAAGATAAGCCTATCTCAGTACAGCTGCCAAAATACAGCCCTTCTCAGTATGCGGATTTGAAACAGGAATACTAAGAGACAGAGATTCACTATGTTAGGGGAAGGAACTGGGTGGAAAAGGGCCCTAGTGTCACAGTGGTTAAGCACTCAGCCCCATCTGCCAGAGAACAATGTGGCAGCCTGCTTCTGTGAAGATTACAGCCTTGATACTCTATGGGACGGTTCTACTCTGTTCTATATGGTCACAGTGACAGGTTTGATTTTTTACTGAGTGGAAAAGAAGCCCTTAACGACCTTGCCTTAATTTTATTATTCTGTCCTTGAGAACTGCTCAGTGTGGTATTTAAAAACATTGTAAAAAGATGATTGCATTGTTTATTATATCAGAATAAAGGGCCATTTCATTTTTAAAAGCTCTGTGGTTAACTAGAAACATAACAAAATAAAAATAGATTAATTGTTTTTTCCATATTTCTCATTTTCTTGTTTGGAAATGAGCACTCAAACCATCTGAATGGGACATAGTGTTCTCTTCAGAATGGTTTCCAGTTATTTTTGTTGCATTGCTAAAGGTTTAAATATATGGATAATCAGATGTGGGTATCAGCATATTCAGTAACAGAGAAAGAGAGACATGTTTGAAGCTTCTATAAAGTGAGTGCTGTCTGCTCAGAGAGATTGTGTTAATTGTGATGTTCAGTTGTAAATCTTGTGACTAGTTTCGACATATCCAAGAGTCTTGTTATACCCAAGGATATATCCTGTCAGTTTCTCCTTATTTAACTATTTCTGTAGCTATTATAACCATGAATCTTGTTTTAGTACCTAAAAGATGCTATATTCCCCTGTAAAGCCCAGGTTAAATTCAGGCAGGGTTAGATTTTCCTTCTGCCCGCTGTAATAACTTAATGAATCATCCCAACAATCATGAGTGGCATGTTTGTGTCCTTCTGTGGAAAATTGCGTCTCATGCATTGTGAGAAAAGGCTACATGTAGATTCCAAGTGAACATTCATCTTGGAGAAATTCTTGGACACAATTCTGCTTTGTGATTCATTTCCCACCATTATTTATCAAGCCCTCCTCTTTGGTTATGTAGTCACGGTAGCTAAAGGCCATCTCGCTTCAACTGGGAAAGGTAGTTGATTTTCTAACAAAAGATAAATAGGAAGTCAAAAAACGTTAAGTAACCAAAATTACCATGTAGTTCTTTACCTTCCTAACCCATTCCCCTTGGAGTTTCATTTTCATCTCTAGAGAAAGTTTGGCTGTACCCAAAGTAGCACATATTATCCCAGTGGACACTGCAGGGGTCGTTTAAATTATCATAGTCTTTCAGATAAATAGGAGATGTCTACCATATTGGATACAGGAAAGGAGCAGAGAGGGTTTCATGAAATCATACAACTAACAAAACTTTAAGGGACTCTACCTCAGAATGTCTGCAACATTTTCAATCTGGCTGAGGAGAGACTTCTTCCTTGGCCAGAAACAGCTCTCCAGCAGGTCTTTTTTGTTAGCCTTTCTGCCTCTGCCTACTGACCTCTTGATGCAGGAAAGGGGCCTGGGCAAGCATAAGCAATCCTCCCATGATAGGGCTCCTAAAGGAAAATGTGCCCAGTCCTGTGGGGTTTTCTTCTTGCCTTCTTGCAGGGCTGGTGGAGGTGGAGGGGGAACTGACAGGGACAGATTGTGAGCAAGATAAGAGAGAAAACACAGACCTTGGGGCCAGCTGTCTGTTTGGAGAATAGGACAAGACTCTTCTCCCAACAGAAGCCTGTATTCTTTACCTCACTTCCTTCCCCCTTCTTTCAGTCTCAGCCTCCTTTGGGTAAAGGAATTTGGCTTGATTAAAGTCTGTAATATTTTTTTTATGGCAGCTGGACTCTTGTAATCCAGTAAAACAGTAGGTTTTATATGGATATTCAAAGATTGAGAGATTCTCCCCAAATCTAGGCTCAATCAAGATGGCAGCTCATAGCTCCTGTTACAAATCACCTTTTGTGTTTGTTGGCGCTCCCTCTGCTTCTGGTATGAACCAGTTCCCTGGATGTTTTCAGTAATTCAGGTTGTTAGTATTGAGACCAGTTTGTACAGTTCATTCCTGACAGATGTACATTTGTAACTTTTTAAAGCTTTGTATTTATAACAAAAAATTTTAGAATTAGGATGGTAGCCGTTGGCATGCAGTATTTACCAAATTTGGTTTTCTTCTAGAGTTTAGTGTTCTTTTAATGTCCTTTGGTGGCAAGTTGGTGATATGAATGAATCATACAAAGCAGCACCTTCTCTTTGAACCTGATTCATTATTACACATGTAGCCTAAACTGTGGTTCATGAGCCTTAGCCCCAGGAGTTTTCTCTTTATCAGGGTATTTTAGAGTTCTCTTCAAAGCTCAGTCTGGGTGCAGTGTGGACAATACCAATACAATACAGTATTGGCAGGTCTCAGTAGACTTATAAGTCCACATTGAACCACATTTTCCCTTTATGATAGCCTCACCTACCATGGACGGAATGATTAGGTATCAATAACAAGGGTTGATTCCTCATTTACCTGTGCGTGTAGAACAGGTATGTCCAGTGGAGAGGTCCCACCTGTAAGGAAACAGAAATAGGCTATTGGGGGAGGTATTGTCGGTGAAGACACCAAGGAGCTGGGCACTTTCAGGCTGTCATTGACCACATCTCTGAGTTATAGAGGAACTGAGGAGGACACTTGCCTCAGACCCAAACATCCCCATCTCTGCTCCCTGGAGGGGATGAGAACTTTGAAGGGATTGGCACCCATCAAGCCCTCCCAGCACAGACGCATGCACAGAGCAATGGTCTGTATTCTATGTGTCTCGAACTGAGAAAGCAGAAGATAGGAGTGTCCATATCCCATTGTCCAGTTGAGATTTTCTTGGCATATTTATCCTCAGTTTGGCCCAAAGTAGCTAAAAATTGTAGCCATACCTCTGAAATTTTTTCATCCATTGTAGTTGGAATCAGTCTGAACACATGGACCATTCAGATGAAGACAGGGTCCTGACAGTGTCCTCCAAGTCCTGTCCACCAAGAAGTTACTGCCCCAGCTGTGGAGAGTCTCCAGCCTGAGCATCCTTTCCCAACACACATACATGTCTTTCTCTTTGACTCTGAGAATTCAATCTCAGGAGCAATTTGACCTTTCTGATAGCCAACAGCCTTGCCCGTGGAAATACGTGGCCATCTTTGTGCTTTAGCTGTCTCGTTGGCCCATAAATGACTTCTGGATCTTTATTCTCTCTCAGATCCTGTGAATTAGCTGAGACCCTAGCCACTCTGTATGGAGTGGTATACTCACAAACACAACCTTAGCTCACTGTCGTCCCAAAATTTCCCTTTACTAAAGCAAAGCTAGAGAAATTTGACTGGCCCCACGTGTTTAAATGATCACAATTAGCATTCGTTATGGTTTAATTATATCTTTACTTCCAGTTTTTAGATTATAGAGCTTGTCAAATTTTTTGGCTTTCATACCAAAATAGTTCTCTCACCATTGAATTACATGCATAAACTGAGGCTTTTCTGTGAATAACTTCCTGCCTGAAAATAGCATGTGGAATGGATGGCTGCACCGCTTAGCACTCAGGCCTCCTCTGCAGTTTATCAGATTTGCGTGCACACACCCACTGATGTCTTGGAATACTCTGGGAGGATCATAGAAAATGTAGCCAACTCATCCCATTTAGAAAGGAAGAAACTGTTAGAGAGTTGGCAGTAGTAGAAACCTACCTCCCAGAAAAATAAGTTACTGTCTAACAAATAGAGAATTTGAGCTGTTGCGAAGAGGGAAGAAGGAAGGGCATGGTACACCAAAGACAAGACCATCTTACCTGGAGGTGTTTTTTGTTACATGAACCCCAGTTTACAGTAGCCTTGTCAAACCCAGATAACTTAAAGTAGCATTTCCCAGAAGGCACATGATAGGCATTTGGGACTGTTCTTAGTTCAGGGGTACAATTGCAGGGTACCTTAGCATCCCTGGCCCCATAGGTTAATGCCAGTAACCTACAACTCCCCTCTCTCATTTTCCATTTTCAAATACCCTAGGGAGGCAGTACCACCCTTATCATTTATCATTTTAAAGTGATTACTCTTTAAAACCTTGTACAAAATGACGAGGAAACAGAATCATCATTCCTTTGATACTTGCTATTTTTCATATTGACTTTTTGCATATCCAAACCCAGCTTAGTTGTGTTCAAATCAAATGTCTTAGTACTCCTTCCCCTCAGACTTCCTATTCAAATAGCCACCTTTCACAAGAAGTACATATTCATAAAATACCAGACAGACTGAATTTGGGTAGAGGGAGTGCCCCCAGATGACAGAGCAGTGACAAGTGGCTAGACTGAGGGTCAGAAGCCCAGAGCCTGGCCCTGACTCTGTCAGTAGTTTACTGCGAGACCTCAAGATAAGTCATTTGCTGCCTCTGTGACACAGGAGCAATCAGGAGTAACTCCATAACTTTAACATCACATCCGGTGGATGGGAAAATAATCTGAGAACACATGTGACAACAGTATGAGGTAGTTTCAGGAATGTTATTCAGCAGCTCTGTGGCACATAGCCAAGTCGGTCATGACAGTGAGTGACAGTAGTATATGTCATTCATTTCCACAACACCCTGCCCCTGACTAAGTCAGGAAGAGAGAAATCTGTACGTGTGTTTGCTGATTAATATGGTCCATCCTGAAGATTCTACCTTCCTTCCCCCAAGTCTCCTTGGTTACATTCCTTGCATGCTGGATGAAAAGTTACTCCCGCCGGGTCTGAGATACCCTCAAGTCTATGTGTTCTAAATATAATGTACAACTTAGAATTTGCTCTTTAACTAGCTCTTCTTTCTTTGCTTTGCAGTTTTCCCCCAGTTATACTTCCACATGATACACCAGAGAAGAAAGGTCCTTTCTCACACTGAAGAACACAAGAAATTTGAATAGTTCCTGCTTTTTTTCCAAAACTAAACAAAAACTTTTCACTGATCAAAAATGCTGCAGACTTTTTGAGTTCCCAACACGTTTCATAGAAAATAAGTAAAAACTATTTTTAAATATTAAAATAGGACAAAACCAAAACCAAAATCCAGTGTCACATTGGCCTGGGATTTTATAAAAAAAAAATAATACATTTTTTTTTTTTTTTTTTTTTACAAATAAAAGCAAACAAACCAAGATGAAGAGGCTGTTATATAAAACACCCTTGGCCGGTCTATGCCGCATGCTCTTCCAACCAGAAATTTCCGATATTTATGATGGCGATAGAAAGGTATTTGGCATTTTATATCCTCCGGTTTCCTTCAGGTATCTGATCAGTAATGATCTGTAACACTAAACACTAGAGAGTTACAGTCTTGAGTAATGAAGTACCAACCGAATGTCCGGCTTGTAGTAGCGTTATGTTTCAGTCTGCAGTATGTTTAGCATTCCCTTTTCAAAGTGCTTTGGCTGCATGCTGGAAACTATTTGTATTTTTGAAGTGGCAAACTTTGTTCCCTGGAATGCTCCAAAGTTCTGGCTGGGATCTGTCCCCTCATATGTAGTGAATGAATCATAAAATGTATATGCCTGTGAAGCTCGGGGGTAGTGCCCTTAATCCGAAAACAACTAGAGCCCTTTTGTTTGTCTTCAGTTGAGTCATTACTGCCTGCCACTAAGGAACGTGCTTGAATTTAATAAGTATGTGTACATTGTAAGGAACCCACCTTCTCTGAGGCTCAGCCTCAAGCATATTGGAATAAAATGACAGTTCTCAAAAAGGGAACGATCAGTAGCTACTAAATGATGGTACCAGCCTCAGAACCCCTCTAAGTAGTATAGTTGCCAATAGCTATTCGGGTGTCTGGAGTCCTGGTTAATGTGCTGGACTGCAAAGTCAGTTTGATCCTCAAGGTTAGCAGTTCAAGCTCACCAGCCAACTGCTTGGAAACCCTATACAGGGCCGCTGTGGGTCAGAACCGATTGGTCAGCAATTAATGGCAACAACAACATTCTATTTCTAGACCTGAAACCAATCTAGTCTTACTGAGTAAGGAATCTGTTATTGAAAGCACATAGAAGGTGTTGCTTTAGAAGTAAGAGTCTGGGGAGCCATCCAGGAATAAGTTTATACACCCTTATTTTTACTTGATTTTAAGTTTTTCACTCAGCTCTTCTGTTTGGATACTTTTCCTAATTGTGATCCGATTTTAATTCCCACCAAGTTGTAAGTCCAAAAGCAGTGAAGTGTTCAAAGTAGCAGCCATGCATCAATGCTGGAGCAGCCAAGAAATAGCTTGGCAATAAGGACATTATCTAATGAACGTCCTGACATCTTCATACAGTTTTAACTGCTCAACTGTGCTCTTAAAACCCTGGAAGGAAGAGTTGTATGAAAATGTAAACCCCAAGTTTAAACATGCATTCAATTTTAAATGTAGTGTTTTTGTAGATTTTTTTCAGGTGTGGTTTTTAGTTGTTATTGTTAATCTTTAAAACTTTAAGTCTTGCTTACGGAGTAGTTATTTTGAAATATAATTGCTAATATCAGAGGCGTGCCATAATGGAACCTAATTTTTCAAATGCTATTTCATAGAAACTTGAAGATTAAAATGAGGAGAAAATATGCAGCCTAAAATTTAATGCAGGCAGGTGTGTAATAAATTATTTTGAACTGAACATTAAAATTCTGCTTTTTAAACTCAGTGCTCTTAACTTGGGGGAGATGGGATGAGAATCTGTTATTGTACTTGAGAGACAAAAGATGTAGGGAAGATAGTTTTTCATGGTTTTTCTTTTTTCATACTTCTAAATGTATGTCACATAAAATCAGTCTGGATTATAGGACCCTTATTACTTTATTTGGTTAGAATTTTCTCAGTTGTTTTTGAGATCCGTGTAGAAGCAGGCCTGGAACATGAAGGTTTCCCAGGATTGCTGAAACTTGGGGTTTTATTCAAACCTGCATAACAGTTTATCTCTATGAAAAACAATCTGTTGTAGACAGCGGCATTACATCCAGCTGAACTTTAGCAACTAGAACACAGCAGATCTTTTTCAAAAAGGGTCTCAGCCCTCATGTGTATTTTGTACATCAGCATCTAAAACACCTATGACGACAGATAATCAGGCATGTCACTGTGTCCTTCAGTAACCATGCACAGTAACTGCTCTCTTTCTCCCGAAAATGAATTAATTTCTCCTTTCAAGTGATGTTCTCTTATAAATTGAACATCCACCCCTCCAAATGTCACATCTTCTTCTAAGGTGTGAGTGAGGAATGAGCTGTTAGGGTGTTTTGTCAGATTTAGTGCTTTCCTTTCAGGGCCTAGTCGAAGGCTGCATCATCTTCATAGCTACTCGCCTGGTTGCAGGTTTCAGTTCCCCCCCACAGGGGTCACAGAGAATCCTTTGAGGGACATACGCTGCTAATCTGCATCGTGCTGTGTTCAGTTTGCAAAGGCTTGGATCATGCATTTAACATGTGCTGGCCGCTATCAAAGGCACCATAGAGAGTTAATCATGGAACTAAGTACTACCCTCCCAGACGACAGGTTCCCCCTGGGGGAACTTCTAATAGGAAAAGTTTAAAAGATGTAGATGAAGAGATTGCTCCCTCAGTTTTTCTTTTTTTTTTTTTTATTTGTTTATCATAAAAGGTTATCATTGATGTGGTCCAACCTGTAAATCATTTTCAATTCTTGAGTTTCAGAGCAAACATTATAAAGCGTCAAATTTAGTACATACTGCTCTTTTGAAATTTGGGTAAAAAAATTATACAACCGTATATATAGTCACTTTTGTATTTTTTCTATGTTGTGAAAACCAAAATTGTAATTTTATAAGTCTCTGATTCACTAAAATTCTATAATTTAAATGTATTTTTTGTATACTTAGAAATAAGGAGTTCAAAGACTATGCTTACCTTTCTATGCATGCATTTGGAAGCTGTTTCACCTGCTCCTGTTACTGTAGTCATTAGTTGTACTCATCAAATACTGACCTGTGGTGCATTGCAAAATAAACTGGTGTGTGCTCTGCCTGGATTTGAACTACTGAATGAGCCCAGTGATTTCCATACTCGATCAGTGTGAATGTGGCGTGTAGGCATATGGAAGAAATCCAGTTTGATTATGGATTCCGGCTCTTTCTGTGATGGTTTTAAAACCTATTTTTGTTATTCATGATGGCTCTGCACTTGTGGGAGAAAGAGATAGATGTGCATATTTACTCACAGGGTACTATTTTTCATATTCCCTTGTATGATTAAATTTATGACCATAAGTAAACACTACAAATTATTTTATTTCCAAGACACTGTATTTCTCATTTTCAGTGTGATGGAATGGATGATGGTTTTATGTGGCACGCAGGTTTCCTGGATTGGGAAGTTTACTTCTGACTTTTCTAATGTAAGTTGAGGGCAGACATACCGTTGCGCAAAAGTGTCCATCTTGTAAATAAGATTTGGTGCAGTTCAAATACCTCATCCTGAAAGTGCCTCCCAAATACAGAGTAATCTTAGGAATTGCTTTACTCACTATTTAGCCCACAGTAAGAAGTAGTGGGAAGGACGCTGACCTAGGATTTGCAACTGGGCCAAACTCTAAATCCCCAATGTGCTCACCACAGAACGAAAGCGCAGGTGCCTCCCATGTGCTTAGGCACGTTCTAGTTACGTCTCTGTATGATCCCTCTCTCCTAGTGCCTCCATAAGTAATGTGTCCCCCTTCCTTGCCCACCCCTCATACACACACAACACACAGCAGGCCTGGGTCTTTCTCAGAGACCATCTTCACTGTTTAGAGTGACGTCTTTGCCTACTTGCAAATGATCCAGAAAGACCCATATATTTATGTACACACAAATAAGACAAAACAAATTTTTGCGATTTTGAAACCTAGGGTGTTGGAATATATGTTGATCATGTATGATTCTCTTGCGTTCTCTGTTTTTTGGGGATTTTTTCCAACTTTTTCATCAAAATTTGGGGCGGAGGGGCGGGAGGGCGAGGGTAGGAAGCCTTTGGGGAAAAAAAAGAAAGAAAAAGTTGTCTTTAGTCCAAAGGGGGCTCTTTTCTTTCCATGTGCCTTCCAATCACGGCTTCAACAGAACCCACACACAGGTTAGAAGCACCTCTCTTCTCATGTAGAATCCACTCCGTTTCCACAAGAGGATTTTCATTTAGGAAAAAAGAAAATGATTTCGTCGATTACCAAGGAACAGATGGTAAAGTTAATAGCAGAGATGACCCAGCAAATACAACCTTTATAATCTTAGGGTGGTAATGGGAAGCTGGGGCTTTCTAATTTGTCATTGTCATAATTTGTGGCAATTATGCATACTATGTTAACATAAGCCCTAGCCTGAAGGAATTACCAGTGGAATAATTAAGAGACCTACTGTTACACACAGCATTCCAAAAATACTGCTGCGTTGTTCTGTTCCGTTTAACAAGAATGAAAACTAACTTTGCAATTCCCCATCTTATTAAAAAGGAGAGGAAGAAAATAAAATAAAAATTCCAGCCTGACTCATTGTTACACAGTTTAGTGGCGAAGAAACTGTTCTAAACAACATTACCAAAAATAGCCATACCTATTAACATTCCCATCTACAACTGAGAACCAGAGTTAGGAGAATGTGTGGTTTGTGACCATCAGTTTCTTTTAAACATGCGAGAGACTAATTTTTTTTTTTTTTAAGACTGAGATACCCTTAGTGTTATAAGGGTCAGTCATATTACCAAAATTATCCCTTATTCCCACAAGAGGCAATTCATCCTAAAAGACTTAACATTTGATTTGCAAATGCTAAAATATGTGTGAGAGGCTGTGGACTCAAGCAACTTGTATCCGTTTCATAAATCATTTTTTGATGGAAAACTGTATTTTCTGCACCCTAATTACAGAGCATGGACTCATTACCATGGCAGTGTTGAACCATCTCTCTGTAGTTCTCTGTGC